ATATAGATAGATGGATCTATCGATCGATCAGTAATTTAATTAATAGATACATCTATCAGCCGATCAGTGGTTCAACCGATATATAGATAGATGGATCTATCGATCGATCAGTAATTTAATTAATAGATACATCTATCGATCGATCAGTAATTTAATTAATAGATACATCTATCAGCCGATCAGTGGTTCAACCGATATATAAATAGATGGATCTATCGATCGATCAGTAGTTCAATTGATATCAAAGAGGTTTAATAAAATATGTATACTGTATTCACTCACTGAAATGCAAATATATACATTGTAATATGAATACATAATTTTTGTATAATAAAGAAAATATTTCCAAACAAAATACTACAATTAAATTTACATTTCTTTGCTTTTCAATGAAAATTATCTTTGGAAGAAGAAGAAGCAATTAAAGTAATTACAATGAGTAAAATGTATGTGTATGTATGCATGTGTGTATGTGTATGTGTGTGTGTGTATGTGTGTATGTGTGTATGTGTGTGTGTATGTGTATGTGTGTGTATGTGTGTATGCATTCATTATAGGTGAAGCTTATAGCTATCCTATCTTATCTTATTATTACTTTACTTTTTCTTTTTTCTTTTTTCTGATTTCTAAAATCTTCGTCAAAGACTGAATGGAAAAAGAGAATGTTTGCAGATTTAATTAAATTCATTGACAATGAATGGTGACAATTTAGCTTAGCTGGAAAGAGCGAAAAAAAAAAACACTAATAGTTGTTAGGTTTTGCTAAAATTTTAAACAGTTAAATTTTACAATTATTAACAAAATAAATTTGTTTTTTGATAAATTAAAAAGGAAATTAACAATAATTAATGGAAATAAAAAGTGAAAAATAAAAAATAAAAAATTTTAAATTTTAATAGAATAAATTAGGATGAAATGAAAAAGTAAGTAATTAAATTTTAATAATGAGAAATAATTACCAGTTCTTCGTATTATCATACTATTTGAAAATTTCACTTTATTTGATAACATTTTATTGTTTACATCTCTTTCATCATGTTTTATTCCGCTTCTTTTGCTATTATTACGTTTGATAAAACTTCGACGTAACATTGTTAATCTGAAAAAAAAAAAAAAAAAAGAAAAGAATAGTAAGATTTTCTCTTTAGTAAAATTAAAGAAAGAAAAAAATTATAAGCATTATTACTGTAATTATTATGGTATTTATTATACCATAGCATAATATATCATATCATATCATATTTAATCATTAAATAAACAAATATTCGTAGTAAATGGATAAAAAAGTTATAAGAAGGTTATCATAATATTTTGGAATATATCTATCTAAACTTATCAAAAACAGCTAACCTAATAACACTAATTAGGGGGTAAAAATATATTAAATATATGATTAAAATTTTCTATTTAAATTTATCAAATTTCATTTTTTTTTACCTAATTAAATTTAAGCAAATGTTCTTATTGATTGGATATGATAACTTAAAATGATATCATTAAGAAATATAGTATTTATTTAATAGCAAATTTTGTAAATTTAATAATCATACTTATCATACTTCTCTCAAACTCAATATCATTCCTAACATAATTAATTAAATTTTAATTATTACCGATTAGCAGGTTTGAAAAGATCAAAACAGTATGAAGCAGTTTGTGATGATAAAGCAATGCTTTGCTGGTAAACGTCACCACCTGTAAAAAAAAAAAAAAAAAAATGAAAAAAAAAAAAAAGAATGCTTCATGGTATTGATAAAAGCATGCTTGTTATAATCAATAGCAAGGCCTTTTTCTTTCTTTTTTTTCCTCTCTCCCTCTCTCTCTTTCCCTCCCTCTCTCTCTCCTCTCTCTCTCTCTCTCTCTCTCTCTCTCTCTCTTATGACTATTCGTTTTGTAAAAAAATGCGAGAAGCAAATAGTTTTAAACAAATAAATATTTGCTGTATCATATTTGGTTTAATATTGGCTAATTATTGTTTTAATAGTATTAAATTAATGAATTAATTAATTATTTTTGAAAAAAGGAATAAAATAAATTGGAATTGAAAATTATACATATACAATAAGCTTATCATGTAATTTATCAAGGATGAAATAGTATTAATTAATTGATTAATTCATCATGAAAAGAAAAAAAAAGAAAGTGATACAACGAATTGAAAATCATACATATATGAACATTTAATCATTTAATCTATACTGAATAAATAAAGATGATATTAGGATAATTTGTTTGATTAAAAGAGGAAAATGAGATTGAGAAGGAAAAATGATTTTTTTTTAAAAAAAAAAATATACCTGATGATTGCTTTCGATATTTCAATATATCCAATGACTCACCATTTACAATGCAAATTTTTGTTAATGGTAAAAATTGTTTTTCTCTAAAAATTTGAAGAATTTTAAATTTCAATTAAATAAGTTGTTGTCTGGAAATGTGTAATTTTAGGATGAAAATTACCTGTATAAATGATTGGAGGAGGAAAATGGAAAAAAAAAAAGATTAGAAGGAATTTTTGAAAAATGACGAAAAAAGGTGAGGAAGAAAATAAGAATAAAAAAAAAAAAGAACTATTCGAAAGAAATTCTATGAAGATAATTATGACATTTAAACATTTAAATCCAAATATTTTATTAATTTGTTAGTAATAATTAAAGAACAACTATTCGAAATTGTCGGGGGGGGGGGGAAAAGTGATAAGATCAGTTTGAATTCGAAAATGAATAAATCAATTCCCTTAAACTTCCCATTCATTATAGCATTGAATTGATAATATTAAATAGCAAAGAAAGAAGCAGTGATTGTACCATAAAGTCATAAATGAATATTTTGATAAATTGTTGGCATAATTAAAAATTATCAATATGAAATTATCAGGAAGAAATTGATAAATCAACTGAACATAAGAATGAATGAATCAATTCAT